CCCCAAAACCCCAAAACCCCAAAACCCCAAAACCCCAAAACCCCAAAACCCCAATAAAAATAACTTGGTTGTACAAATATCATAGAAATTGGAAATTATGGAAAGTGGACAAGAGAGGTGATATGGGACTGAAGAGCAGGTCTGGTGGAGGAATACTCTTGATGATGAGTGATTGCCTTTTGTGAATCTGAAGCCGTCCTTGAAGGAGTATACTCAAGAACAGCTTAAGAAAAAAGATGCTGTTATTCAGTTTAATTTCTCTGATGATGATGTTTTTCGCACTCTTAAGGAAAAGCCTTCTCCAGTGTTCAATATTGGCAAGTTAGTGTACAATACCAAGGACGATAAGTGGTATAAGGTGCTGGATTTGAAGACTGATGACAACTCAAACCCCACTTGGGTAAGCTTGACTAAGAGGAATGGGACAAAAACCATTGAAATTTCTAAACATGAAGAATTCGATCAATTTCAAAGCTCATTGAACATTTTACTCAACATCAACTTTGCTTCAGAGGAAAATGCTATCGTGGAAGTCAGTCCAAAAATCTATGAAAAACTAGAGATAGCGTTAGAAAATCCTCTTGAAGGCGTTGCAACTACTTTAAGTTCTTGCAAGTTATTTTTTAATGGGAAAGAAGTAGACAAGGAAGACTGCATTGCTAATATTGATAATATCTTTGAGGGTTCAACCATCTATGCTTCAGAAGGAGTTGGGAAGCCCTTTAAGTTCTCAAGGTTTCCAGAGTTCCACAGCACTTATCCTTGGTCTAATTCTGGAAGATACTCTGATGGTCTCGCATTTATTCCTTCTCAAAACATTAGGCTCTGTGGATTCTCAACCTGTGCTGCTAAGGATGAAAGCCAATATGAGATGAAGTATCAAGTCACAGTCGATGGCACTGAAGTGGAGAAAGAGATCATTGTTGCCTCAGGGTGGGAAGATGAGTATTATTACAGACATAGACTAAATGGAATATACCCAGTAATGGCTGGCCAAAAGTTCGAGATCATTGTCTGGATTGCTAAAAGTCTAGCTAGCAACACAGAAGTCGCTACCTGTAGAGGGGCCAGAGGTGAGGAATACGACAAAGTTGAGAACGAACACATGGGGCTTTTCAAGCTCGAGTATGCCAGCAGCAGTGATAATGGAACTTCAATCGACTGTGGACACTTCCCTGAGATCTTTTATTTCCTTGGATAAATTCAATGAATCGAGCCTTAGTTGGGGTTTTGGGGTTTTGGGGTTTTGGGGTTTTGGGG